TTATTTCTTTTAGTCTTTTATTTCTTTTAACTCGTGTTGATGGATGTTATCACTAAATGCAGACATCAGGCTAGCTATCTGACTTCATAAGTGTGTATGTATAACAATATATACCCACACAGATGCATCAAATATTCAAAAGTGCATAGAGACAAATATAATAAAAATTGTAACAGTATTATACAGTAAATACACGTTATTTTTATTGCTTGTATACATTTCTGCTATTTCAGAAGTCATATTCTTTAAAAAGGCATTGAATTACTTAATACAGCAGTAGCATTTTCTGAATTAGTGCATTTAAAAATATTATAATGGGAAGTAGGTGTAAGCAGCCATAGTATTTGGAAGCACTGATATGCCAGTTTCTAGTGGTTTGCAGTGATTATTATTTGCATTATGTTAGCACTGGAAGGTTCTAACCAGGAGTGGCCCTTATTATTCCAGTCTGTATTCATAAAAATAATAAGATAGAGTCCTTACCCTGAGAAACACATAGTTAACACGTAGGTGAGGAGGAAAAAGAGGAAACACAGGTAGGAAATTATTTGCCTGAGGGGATTGAAAACAGGAAGGGAAGAAATTCCAAGGTTAACAGGCTGCCTGTCCACCACAGATCATATCCTGCCCTTCAAGCAATAATTTCTCTTTTAATAATTTGGGTTTTTTTCATACACATTTTAGCTCGTGTGCCCGTGCAGAGAGCATTCGTGGAGCCAGCAGCCGTGCACGTGAGCAGCTGGCTAAAGACTAGAAACTCTGATTCACTCCAAATTCCAAGGGTTTTCCAGAGATACAAACCCAATGTAGAATATTCAAAAAGTACACTGAAATCAGCAGAAAACTTTGAGACATAGTGCTTGAGAAAATGATGCACAATTAAAGGATGGGAAGTGTCAGGTGAACCCATGGTTCAAAGCTGGCTGCCCACCTGATTAACTAGCAGGCTTTAGTCTCTGTCTGAGAGTATAACCACTTCTTGTGAGTAAAATAAGTGCTGTTGGAGAGACCCAAAATGCTTTTTTTTTTTTTTTTTTGGCAGGCTTTAGTCCTTGTTCTAAATCAGGCGGAGCAAAATCTGGA